ACAATATATAATTCGACGTTTGACAAGTTAACAAAAGGATCAAAACTGAAACAAAATGAAATTTTAGGTACCAACTGTGCGACGTTTGACAAGTTAGGGACTAAAGTGGGATTGGGGTTAAACTTTATAGACTATTTATAAGATTAACTTTAACGGAAATTGTTTTGTTTGGAGTACGAAAATAAAGATAGATATTTTTTGGGATTGGTGTTGGAGTTGTTTTGAAATTGTGTTTGGTTGTCCTTATAAAAAGATTGTTTTGAGTAAACGAAAAAAGTGAAATTGTATTTGAGTATGTTTTTGAAAATATGAGTTAGTTAACCTCTTTATTGGAAAGTATAAAAAAAAAATTTACCAAACACCCCCTTAGTTGCTTGTTTGCTGCATATTACTTACAAGAATTAGTTTTATGTTTTTATGCGGATTAGTTACCTGTTTGGGGCTATTACTATTTCCTTGTTTACTTGGTTTTTTAATTTTTAGTTTCTTATTTTTTGGAGACCTTTTCTCTATCAGAAATAATAATTTCTCATAAACTTTTTACCTTTTCTCTTTGGTTTTTCTTATTTTGTCAAGAACTTAATTTTGCTGTTGGACCATGAATGTTATGTTTGCATAATCCATAAAAGTATATGTTAAAGTATAAAACTATTGTTAGCTCACCTCCTAACAGCTTAAGCTTTTGGGATGGATTGGTAAACTAACATGGTATCAGAGCGGGAGGTCCTGAGTTCAAACCCCCGTAATTGCACTCTTTATCCCCATTTAAAAATTGTCATGTGTTGGGTCTTTAATATATCTCGGGCTTAAATATTCACGTGTTGGGCTTTCCAATTAATTTACCCACACGATTGCCCATTGTCCAGCCCACACGTGAGGGGAGTGTTAAAGTATAAAACTATTGTTAGCCCACCTCCTAACAGCTTAAGCTTTTGGGATGGATTGGTAAACTAACAGTATATGTACTTTATGCGTTAAAGGTAAAGGAAGATTTTGAGAATGTTCAAATATTTTCATTTTTTTGTCATGTGTTTGATTCTAACAAGAATATGCATTTTTCCTGGACAGTGCCAGTGTTTTTTTGAATTCGAGGACAATTCTCCTTCTGGTCTAGCTCTTTTGGAAAGAGCTGCAAGTGGCGGCCATCTTGGAGCTTCATATGTGTTCGGTTTTGTCTTAATTTGCAAAGGAGGTGAATATGTTCTACGCGGCTTGGAAATTTTAGGCAATATTCATACAGGTCTACAGATGCGAGAATGCCAGAAGGCACATGCTTCCCTGTCTATTTCCAGATCAGATACGGGCTGCTAAGTTATATTTGGATGCACAAGACGATGACAATAATCTACATTGCAAGACATGCAGATTGAATCGAGAAATGCTTCATGTTTGGGTCAACTTGACTAGATGGAAAGATCCCTATGGCTGCGATGCAGCGTTTAGGGTACTTACAGAACCTTATGCAATGTGTGCATTGGGGTTCCACGTTCGGTGTGTGAGAAGCTAGAGGGGGCATTCAAGCAAAAAAGGGAGATGAAATTGTGGTAAGAGGGATGAAGAATATGAAGGAAAAAAGAACCAGGAAAACGAAGGACGAAGAGATTATAATAATTTTTTTTTATGTTATTTGGTTTAGTTTCGAGAGAGTGTCGTAAGGAATATAATTAATTAATATTTATTATTCTAATTATTTTGTAATCGTTTTTACTATTTGCTCATAATTTTTTTGAATGCTAGATGGTCCTTTTAACTTTAATTGTGTGGATTTCTTGAATCCGGATTCAAATTGGTTGGCTAAGACGGATGCACTCTACTTCCATCTCTCCTCTCCCGCATCTTATTCTTCGGTTATCCTCTCTCTCCCTCGTCCCCTCCCCTTCCTTCCATCTCTCCTCAGATTTTAGTTGACTTGATCAGATTTTAGGACGTAACAATTCTCTGTCATTTGTCTATAAACTCCATCGGGAAAGAAGTATATAAGCCACCCTTACACGAATTGTAAATATTGATCTTATTTTGATTGTCATTACAAATAGTCTATAAATCATTTATAAACTATTCTTATTATAATTCTTTTTTATGATTTTTTTTTTTTTTTTTTTTGATAGAGGGGTAGGTTTGGTTGGTCTGTGTTGGAAACAATACAAGGCATTTTTCTTGAGGTAACAAAATGGGTGTAACAAGTAAGTAATAATTATAATTTAAAATTTAATCAAGGGGATTTAAGGATAAGGGAGAAAAGTATATGATTTGCTATGATTTTGTGCATACTTATTATTATCTTCCTAGTCTTTTATTTTCTTTTTATTAATTGAATGATAGTTATTTATTTTTTAGCAAAATAACATAAATAATATTTTTTTATCAAGTGGTAATTTTTATTTTTCTTAAGAGTGAGAAAAGTAAAATGGGGTGGCAAATAGACCCACCCATGTGTGTGTTAAACAGGTGAAAGGGCGATATTGGCCAAGGGCTGATTTATTGGTTACAGTTAGGGGTGTACACCTTCTGGTTTCAAACCATAAGGTTTACTATTTTCATGGTTTGAAAAAAGAAAATCGTAGATTTACACATATAGCAAAAATTTGATATCAAAGTTTAAATTTAGTAAAAAATTTGAAATATTACAAAAATAGTAAAATTTTATATCAATTTTATGTCATTAAAATAATGACTATATCATTATATGATACAAAATATGATGTCGTTATGATAATTATTATATCATTTTTCTATATTTATAATATTTTAAAAATTTTACTAAATTTTAACTCAAGGTGTGAAATTTTGCCACGTAGTAGTGTAATTACTTCTTTTGTGTTTGGGATGTATGTACATTGGGCCTACTTTTGGGCCAAAAAAAATGGCCGGTTGACATTTTAATCTTTAAAGGGATATCTATTTTTTATTTATTATTATTATAATTTATTATTTTTGGGGGTGTGCGTGTGTGTGTGTGTGTGTTTTTTTTTTTCAACGATTAATTTTTCGACCAAAGTACTCGCCAGGTATTATTCACAAATGGCCAAAAACATGTTTATCAAGGAAGCTTACCTCGCCCCTTCCCTTGTTAAATGAAGTGGAAAGTCTTCACTTAGTAGTTGGCATTCTATAAGCGACTTGTCGAATCTACAAAACTTTGCTTCTTGTCTCCCTTCATTTGCTTGCCTCCTTTCAGCTCAGAATGCTTGGCCTCCTGCGCCAAGTTGATTTTTTAGGCTCGGCTCCGTCCCGGAAGCAAAGCTTCTACGACGAGTCGCTTCTCTCCTTCTCTACTCTCTGGCGGAGAAAGCTCAAAGAGCTTGAATTCTCTGGGGGAGGAAAAAGAAGCTCTTCTTGCTAACCTTGAATCAGCTCTTCTTCCTATTGTCGACTCGAAACGAATATTAGCATGGCTTAAATAATGACTCTTTCCTTTGCATTGAGTCAGTGTCGATGGTAGGCTTTCGGATAGAGAGAATGCTTACTCGTAGGGTGGAAAGCTTGATGATAGTCAACATGCTTAATTGGTATCGGTCTTGTTAAAATGTTTTACGTAGTAGATCCCTTAAAGGAATTGATCGACTAAAGGAAGAATTGGTGCTTGACAAAGAATTAGCCTGAACCCAGAAAGAAGAAAGCAAGAGATCCAATAGATATGCAAGCACTTCTCACAGATTTTGGCAATTTTTATTCTTTTTTCATGCTTTCTAAAAGGCTTTTTTTTACGGATATCCCTTGAACTTTATAAATTTGACGATTTAGTCCTTTTTTTTATTGGTAATTAAACCTTTTAACTTTTAAATCTTTACAATTAAGTCCTAATAAGAAACAACGCCTTTTTTTTACGATTATGACCATATGACGCGCACATGAGCATTTATAGAGAGCAATGAAGGTCATTTCTCATCTTATTTGTTCAGTTCAGAGTCATCTAATGTGTCCGAACACAATCAGTTGTGACAAATAACTCTTACTTTTCAAGCTTTATTACCCTCAACAGAAGCTCTAAGAGTGAGAAATGACCTTTAACCCTCAACATACGCTCACATACGCGCCATGTGATTAGAATCGTCAAAAAAGCATTTGTATCTTCGACTGGACTTTAATTGTAAAAAAATTTAAGTTAGTGGTCAATTTTCAACAACAAAAAAAGTAAGAACTAAATAGCCAAAATTTAAAAAGTTGAGAAATATCCGTGCAAAAAATTCTTTCTAAAATTACGGCGTGCAGTTACATACATATGGGGATGCTATCAGATATACAACTTCCTAAGAAAGCCTGTGCATTTTGAAAATGTTAACTTAATGCATTTTTAGGGTTTCATTTGTCGAGAATAATTTACAACAGAACATATACTTATGGTTTCAAATATGACTTCAGGAAGATATATAAAGTAGGGAGGGTAGCAAAATGTTGTCGCTTCCCACATATATATATATATATATATATATATATATCTAATCGCGTCTAGACCATCTATATTTTAACCAGATCGGCCTGTAATTTAAACAACGTAATATGATTACCGACGATCTAAAAGCCACCAGAGCTCGGTAGTTTCTGATTAAGCACAACCCTAGTGTGTTTTGGGAACATTTTGTGAAAATTTCATTTTAGATTTTTTAACCAGCACAATTTAGCCAAAGTTCTTGTAAAATTGTTTTTGGCTGTTGGAAAAGCATTACCGAACTAAGCCTAGTCTTTTTGGAGCATTGTTTATATAGTTAAGTTCGCTCCGCCCCTGAACTTTATATTTTTAGGCGCTTAACCCCCTAAAAAGGAAATGACACAAACCACCAAGACTTCACTATGTTGAAACAGACATTTGAAACTCAAAAATAAATGCTTGGATCAAAATTAGACCTCAGCATTTTCTTAACCAGCTCATATTCTTTTCCCAAAATTTCTGGCAGGCAATTGATTTGATCACCCACCACCTTGAAATGATTAATAGGTTCATAAGATTTGTATTCAAAACCATTGCAAGAAAAATGAAGAAATACAAAAGGGAGATCACATAATCAAAAACAATATCCAGCTTGCCATCAAAAGAAGGTGGAGAAAAAGATTTATCCGGTTTTATCAATCCATACATCATCCAAGCAAATGAAGAAGACTGAAGAACACGAAGTGACACGGCCAATCTATATAATTCCCTTCAAGCCGACATCATTTTTGTGATAGTTGCAAGACAATGACAGCAACTGTACATAATTTTGCTTTCACATCTTATGCATTAATATTACCTATAGCTCCAAGCGTTTTCACTTTAGGGTGCATACCAGAACAAGTGAAGTTCATCCACAAACATAGAAAGTGAACGCTTCTTCGCGACAACTAATTTCCTGCATGGATTTACACAAAATGAGTAGTTGTCATGAATTACCACATACATTACTGCCTAACATAGCAAAGGTGCCATTAGGATTAAAACCAAATTAAAGAAGCCCATCAAAAAAAAAAGAGAGAGAAAAACATCAACACCAAACAGGAAAATAAAGAAAACTAGGAATGCCACGCAGTGCCAAAATCGCAGCTTAGCAACAAGAGAGCCCTGCTATGCATCATAACTTCACTTTCAATATCGCCATGGGAAGACGAGTTGCTAAGCGCCTTGTACTGTTTAAGCAGCCATGAACGCGCGTTTAGCCACTCGGTACAGCATAAGAAGTATGTCTGTTGAAATTCCCAGTTTGTGATCTTTGTTCCAAAACCAAGCATTGACATTTGATTATGCTCCGCGGCTCAAAGTTTCATTCTTTGTGGATGTACTCGCCTCTTCATTCAGCGTAGCGAATTGGGACGGATGAATGAACCCCACTTCATCCCTGGATGAGACAATAACATTAACGTAACAACATCTTAGGAAGCAAACCGAAAAATAAGTAAATAGAATTCTCTTGCAATTTATCGAACACTAGGTGTGCATGTCGAATTGGAAAAGGATAAGCATCTTGCACTCTTTCACTCGCAAATTGTATACAAATAAAGACATAAATACAACAAGAAAAGTTTGTACGCAACTACGAATATGTTTTCCTTTTTCTATTTGCTCTGTCCAATGCTCACATGAGTAACATGAAGATCCTGAAACTCACCGAATAACTAAAGGAATGTCGGATCTGCCTTTTCCGAAAGGCCACAAACAAGGAAAACCTCGGAAACACTCTCGACCGCCATCAACCATACTCATCACTCAGCCCCCTCTTTCCCAAGAATTTTTCTCTCAATGCTCTCTTCCTCTCTGTTCCAATGGCTGCCTGGCCTTTCCTCATCTTCTTCTTCATCTTCTTCTTTGTTCCTCGTTTATCTTCTTCTCAGCATCATCTCAATCGAAGGCAAATAAATTAGGCTTAATGCAGCTCCGGTGAAATTACTCTTAACAAAAGAAAACAAAAAAAGAAAAAGAAAAAGAAAGCTTTTCTATATCGTAATAGGCTTGAAGTTGAGTGAGTGCGTTAAAAGATTACAGGATGAAAATTTCCATCAGAGAGCTTTGCCTAGGCCCCCTCCACTTGTCCAACCAGTAGCCAAGTACTCCAACCCATTATCCGAAGCCCATCTTGTCGCTTATGAGCCAACGTGTCAGACAAGTCAATCGAGGTAGTGACACCTTTGTCACTCTCTCCTCCCATTCCAGACACGTGGAAAGCTTTTTAAACCCGCTTGATCAATATAAACTGACATCTTGTCTCTTTAAAAAAAAAAAAAAAAAAAAAAAAAAAAACCCTGATATCTTGCCCCTTATCAGCTAACGTGTTCAACTCATCGCAGGGACACCTTTCTCAATCACTTATCTTGCAAATTATTTTCCAACGTTGAAGGGCTCGAAGAATTCTTGGAAGAATCCAAATCTGAAACTCCAAAAGTTTCCTGAGGAAGCCGTGATTGAATTGCTAGATGTTCTTTAAAGTTCGACCATCTTGCAGAACCTCAACAAGAAGGAAACCGATCAGCAATAAGAAAGGACTGAGGTTGTTCCCAAAACTCCAGCAGCACGGAGCAGTAAAAGGGCTCTACCCGTTTCTGCCCGGCTAAAGACGGAGTCCCAGAAGGATGAAAGGTCGGTACAGAGAGCATATAGCACTAGTCGCTCACTAATGTTTTTGGAGAAGACCATTGAGAAATTAAGTCCAGTGGAGATAGAAAAATCCAGACAAGCTAGGCGCTCAGTGAGTAATAGAGTGAAGATAGACTATAAGGTTATTTTGCATACATACGATGAAATCAGAGTTCCATTTTGCTCTAATTGGAGAACTTAAGGCAATACTGTACATGATGTTCTGTTACATATTTCTTGATATGAACAAATGCATGCAGAGATTATCACAAGTATATATCTCAAAAAAGACCGGCTGAGGTTCTGTTACAACTTCTTGATATGAACAAGGAATGCAGACATCATCAGAAATAAAAGACTAATGGGCATGCAAACATCATTAGAAGTATATGCTAAAAAAGACTCGTTAAGGTTCTGGTACACCTTCTCTGATATGAACAAAGGACTAACGGTACCTTCTTTGATATGAACAAAGGACTAACGGTACCTTCTTTGATATGAACAAAGGACTAACGGGCATGCAGATATCATCAGAAGTATATGCTCAAAAAAGAGTCTTCTAATATAATTAGTGTTATATAACAGGTGGTTGATTATCAAAGTTCAGATTTTTTTAAGTTTAAAGCCTTGGTGTCAGAAGACACCAATGAGCCTTTCAGAGACCCGTTCATAATTCTAATGGTGAAGCTCTGTGAAAGTTTTACCCAAACTATCGGATTTATACCAACTTAGATGGTCATTTTAAGGTATTTGGTCTAATCGTTTACTCAAACTACATTTGGACATGTAGATAGTTTTATTATAATAAAACGGGTTTAGATACTAATTTTACCATCATATTACTTAATTTTAGGGACGGTGACACGGGGACTTGCACTGAGATGATTCACTGCCTCAAAAAAGTTTTTCACTTGGCTGGCATGTTTCCAAAATTAACTGTCATTACCGTTACTATAAATCACAGCGCTAGATTCTTTCAAGCAAACGGAAATGATATTGTTGCAGAGACAATTATTGACTCTCAGATTGTTTGCACAAATTCTGAGTTTTATTTGTGTTCACATGAAGCTAAATGTGTAAGACACCCACAACTTTGTATGTTTACGTTTCTATTTCATTTTTTACTGTCTTATCTTTTTTCTAGCTGCTAAAATTGTAAGGTACTCTAAATTCTGAGGCTATATCACATCAACTGGGATGAGATTGGTTTAACCAAAGATGAGCTCGAGAAGATGGTGTACCAATTTTGCCACGGGTTTCAACCAAGCAAAGGTTCAATCGCTAATGGTAAGCCTCTATTTATTTATTTGAAGCATAACTTTTGTTTGTTCTTTTAATTTATTTACATATTTTATTTTTGTAATTACTCCTTTAAGGTACGCCCAGCAAGCTGCGTGTAAATAGAGAAACGTCGTGGACTCATCAAATCCGATGACCTGTGAATTCACCTTCTGACATCCATGTCCTCATTTGACAGTTTCAACCTAGCTCTCAGATAGACTTGAATCTTCAAGTTTAAAGGCATAGTCGTCTCTCTTTTTCTTGAGCATTAGTATCATTCAGATTAATTAGAATCTCAGGAGATCTAAAACTTTTAAATCGTTTGACTAGTCTGAGTATATGCTTCTTCTAATGAGGTCTGCATGCATAGTAGTCTTTTGTTCATATCAAGGAAAGTACAACAGAACCTCAGCGAGTCTTTTTTGAGCATACACTTCTGATGATGTATGCATGCCCATTAGTCCTTTGTTCATATCAAGGAAGGCGTAACAAAACCTCAGCGAGTCTGTTTTGAGCATACATCATCAAAAGGAGGGACTATTATACATGCAGACCTCATTAGAAGAAGCATACGAAAACTCAAACGATTTGGAAGTTTTGGATCACCTGAGATTCTAATTGACCTGAATGATACTAAGACTCGAGAAAAATAGAGACGATTATGTCTTTAAAATTGAAGATTCAAGTCAATCAGAGAGCTAGGTTGAAACTGTCAAAGGAGGACATGGATGTCAGAAGGTGATTCACAGGTCATCAAATTTGATGAGTCTACGACGTTTCTCCATTTACGCGCAGCTTGCTGGGCGTACCTTAAAGGAGCAATTGTAAAAATAATATATGTAAATAAAGAAAAATAAATTAAAGAACAAACAAAAGTTGTGTTTCAAATAAATAAATAGAGGTTTACCATCAACGATTGAACCTTTGCTTAGTTGAAACCCGTGACAAAGTTGGTACACCATCTTCTCAAGCTCATCTTTGGTTAAACCAATCTCATCCTAGTTGATGTGATATAGCCTCGGAGTTTGGAGTACCTAACAAAAAAGATAAGACCATAATTAATGAAATAGAAACATAAACATACAAAGTTAGGAGTGTTTTACACATTTAACTTCATGCGAACACAAATAAAACTCAGAACTTGTGTAAACAATCTGAGAGTCAATAATTGTCCCTGCAACAATATCATTTCCGTTTGCTTGAAAGAATCTAGTGTTGTGATTTGTAGTAACGGTGATGACAGTTAATTTAGACACATGTCAGCCAAGTGAAAAGCTTGTTTGAGGCGGTAAATCATCTCAGAGCAAGTCCACATGATACCATCCCTAAAATTAAGCAATATGATGGTAAAATAAGTATCTGACCTGTTTTACAATAAAACAATCTACATGTTCAAGTGTAGTTTGGGTAAACGGTTAGATCAAATACCTTAAAATGACCACCTGAGTTGGTACAAATCCGGTAGTTTGGGTAAAGCTTTCACAGAGCTTTACTATTAGATCTCCAAATGGGTCTCTGGAAGGTTCGTTGGTGTCTTGTGACACCAAGGCTTTAAACTTCGAAAAATCTGAACTTTGAGAACCAACCACCTGTTATATAACCAATTATATTAGAAGAGTTAGTATATGCAAATACCACTAAACATATATGAGTGAGGGCCTAAAAAGATTAAGTATTTAAAATTACCGAGACTAAAGGAGGCGCGAGTCCTATTTTAAGTGCATACACGCCCGAAATTAAAGCAGGGTAGTATTGTATCATGTGGGGCAGAACATAACTGGTCTTGAAATTCAGTCCTCCTAGCTGTTATTAAAAAAAGCCCCCATTAATGACTTTTTAAAAAATAATAATAATACTAATGACCTTTTTATATTAAAATGCTTACTTTGACATTAATCTTCGTCAGCATATCTTTCCAAACATTCTCTTTTATGGATGACAGACATTGGCTCACGATTTGATGCCTCAGACAAAGCTTCTTCCAGTCACCTAAACCAAAATAATAAGAAAATCCTGTATTTAGTGATTCCAATTAGCAAAAGAAAATAAGTATGAATTTTTATAAATTACTTACGAAATGAAATAGTTTTGACCTTTTAGGCAAAAGGCATAATATAAGTTGTACCGGCTTTTTGCCTAATTTCAGTCTTTTCCACATTCTCTCCCCCCTAACTTCGTTGCTTCCTTTATATATTCATTCTACTCCTTCGTCACTAAAGAGGGCTAAAACTGGCATTTTCAAAGAAAGAAAACAAATAAAATAAAATAAAAAAGTATAAGCAAACAAAATAATAAGCAAAGTTAATCATTTTTGTTTCCAATATATAATAATATTAGTACTGGCATTAATATCAATTTAAAGGTGACGAATGAGCTAAAACTGGCCAAGTAGCTCAATTAAAAAAGGAAACAAATAGTTCAGCCACAATAAATAACAGGAGAAAGAACAATCAAAACTAAAAACGACATTGCGCAGATAAACAACCACGACAATTATTATATTAAAAAGAAAAGAACAGACAACTATGCGACAACGGATATGAGAAAAGAAAAACGACAACGACAGGAGTGCAAACAACTACAAAATAATTTAACAAAAGGAAAACATCATCAGATCATGCATATACAACAGTAGCAGTTAAAGATACAAAACGACATCCAACTGAGAAACGACGAGAAAACCGACAGAACAAGAAAACGATAATATTTTAAAAGACGAGAGACAATGACAAGAAATAACAAAGATGAGTTTTAAAACAACAAGGACAATTTAAAAGAAAGAACGACAATCGTACAGATAAAGGACAACAACGCTAAAAAGGAAAACAACAATAGCATTTAAAACCATATTAGGGTTAGCAGAAAAATAACAAATTTAGATAGGATAAACGAAGACTAGAAGGAGATTGACAGGGGGCATGCAAAATCAGACTCATAAACGACAACAGCAATTAAAACTAAGAAACGACATCAAAAGAGGGTAGAGAAAGACGACATAAGCGTAGAAAATATAACAACATCACAGACAATAAATATAAAAAGATGACATTATATGTGGATATAAGGTTGACAGCATTAAAGAAACGACAAGAACAATGTAATGGTAAGGAAATTTAATACCTCGCGGGGACCACCAAACATCAACTGTAAAAATAAAAATAAATAAACATGTTAGTAAAATTAAATAAGTAAATATTCTAGCAAAAAAATTAAATAAGTAAATTAATAAATTTGTAGAAAATTACAAAACAAACGACCTTTGCTGCTGGAAGTAACTTCCCTTCAACTTTCAGCATGCTTTTTTCAATATGTAGCAGGGGCTCAGCATCAAAAGTAGAGATAGCCTAGAGAAAAATTACAAACAGAAAACATAAAAAAATGAGTAAAAGAAGACTAGTGATTTGAGTGAAAAATTCAGGTCATCAAAACAAAAACAACCATATGCAAAAATTGAGTGAAAAATTGATGCCTGAATCAAGAAGTATGAAGCACCGTATGCAAATGAACAACTATTGAGGGACCCCCACAAGAAAACAAACCAATCAGACAATTTTTGCTTCAAGGATCAAACCATTGAGTGAAAAATTGATGCCTGAATCAAGAAGTACGAAGCACCATATGCAAATGAACAACTATTGAAGGACCCCCACAAGAAAACAAACCAATCAACAATTTTTGCTTCAAGGATAACCATTGAGTGAAAAATTGACGCCTCAATCAAGAAGTACACAATTTTTGCTTCAAGGATCAAACCATTGAGTGAAAAATTGATGCCTGAATCAAGAAGTACGAAGCACCATATGCAAATGAACAGCTAGTAAAGGACCCCCACAAGAAAACAAACCAATCAGACAAGTTTTGCTTCAAGGATCAAACCATTGAGTGAAAAATTGATGCCTGAATCAAGAAGCACGAAGCACCATATGCAAATGAACAACTATTGAAGGACCCCCACAAGAAAACAAACCAATCAAACAATTTTTGCTTCAAGATCAAACCATTGAGTGAAAAATTGATGCCTGAATCAACAAGTACGAAGCACCATATGAAAATGAGGAATTTTTGCTTCAATGATGAAACCAATGCTTCCGTTTAGTCACAAATGTGTGTGTGTGTGTGTGTGTGTATTTACATGTATGTATAATTGTATGTGTACCTCCATAATGGATCCAAACCTCTCTTGAGGCTTTCGTGCTTCTGTTGGGAATGAACAGTGTCAAAAGCCAAACAAAAAACAAAAACAAATAGGAATATCAAAAAGTGAAGAAACTAAGAGGAATTGCCCAAAATCAATACCAATCCATGTTCAGTTCGTTGGAAGACGGCCCGGCTTTCTGCCTCTGTGAGCGTCTCGTCAAGCTTCTCTTTTACCATAACCTCAAGCATTTTCAGACCATCATTTGATAGTATTGGAATTGTGGCCGAAAGTACTTCATTATCAGATTCTCGGGACTTGAGAAATGCCTGCAACTATTAACATATAAAAAAGCAAATTAAAATCAATAAAGTAAAAAAAAAAAAAATCAAGTGAAAAATACGTACTCTGTATTCTTTAAAAGTTTCTTCGGCATTTTTTACCATAAAATGGTTAGATTTCAGTGTTGTAAGCATGAGATCATTTTCCATTTTCCTTTTCACCTGCACACAACCATTAAGAACTCACGAACGGCTTAAAACAGCAGCACAGATCTCTACTCATTCATTCAGATCTAAACGAAAGAATCATTTACTCTCGAGAAAAGAAATGAATCTGAAAACAAGAAAAGAAAAAAGGGAAAGAAGTAGCAAAATTCACCAATTTAGGTTTAGACTTCTCACACAATCCAAAAATAATAATAAAAAAAATATATCAACAAATAAACAGAGAAACTAATGTTAGATTTCGGATTCTGAAAACAACAAGCATTTGCGAGGATAAAATCAACAATGAAGAAGAAATTAGGATCACATCTAAAAAAAGAAAAACGAGCGGTAAAATTCATTAAGTTCACGCAACAAGAAAGAAGAAATTAGGTTCACATTTTCGATTCTTGTTCACAAGGAAAACAGACGCAAAGAAAATGAAGGAGTTTGAGAAACTTACCAATGGATCTTGAAGCTCTTGGAAGAATCTCGCAGAAGAAGCTCTCTGAAGAAGCTCTCGGAGGAAAAGGAAATTCAGAGCAGAAGAACGGAGTGCGACGAGCAGTCTTGGAGGGAAAGAAAGAAAGAAAGAAGGAAAGGCGACGGGAGCAACGAAAGGCGCAATACATTAATGAGAAAGTGAGTTTGTGAGGAGAATGCATATGGGCCGAAACCCACATTCAACTTGGGCTCACTCGAATTGGGCTGTGCAAACGAATAAACCCTAATTTTTTCATCGAGAAACCTAAAATCTCATAAAAATACAAAATATAATAAAAGGCCACAACTCTTTTTTATTTATTTTTGGTTAAATTCTGTATTTTTAAAAACAATAATTACATGTGGTAGAGTCCAGCATAACTAATATAAAATCCCTCATTTAAATTAATGGTTAAAATTAAAAGTCCATTTTATTTTTTAGGTGCTTCACGGGTGGGATTTTTTGAGGGGTTGCATGGTAAGCTAACCATGATGTTTTGAAAGCAACTCGTTAAATTTGGATTTTTTTTTTCCCAGACCTTTATCTTATGGCATCGCTGCATAATGACTTACCTTTAACGTCCCTCCAATATGGCCTTTTTTGGTTTCTTTCTTTTTTCTTTTTTCTTTCCTTTTATTTGTCCTTTTCATTTTCATTTATTTTTCTCATTTGGTTGATTCACCAATCAGGTATTTATACGATAGACCGATTGGGACTTATGAAGACAATGTATACAGGGTATCATATCAAATAACTTTTTTTTTTTTCTCATACAGTCATTCTTCAAAAAGAAAAATAAAAAATATTATTCTAAATTAGAGAAATACACACTCTAACTCAAGCCAAAGGAAAACTTTAATTTCAATAATAGATCAGTTCTATTAGAAAATTCTGATGAAGCACACTAAAAAATAACACGCACTCCATGCTTCAACAACGGGACATTGAGAGGGCACTAACTTAGGTCCCGTTCTTTTCGTTGATTCGAGTTTTGCTACAGTAAAAAGCTCTCACACAACATTACATCTCAACTCGAATTAGCGAACCGAACGGGCCCTTATTGTCTAAATAATTAAATAGCGTTGCATATATGTAACTTATTGTAAAGAAATTGTATTTATTTTAGATTTATTTTACAAAAAGGAAAAAAATTTGCGGTGTTGAGGTCCTTAGTGAATGATCATTATATGGTTCGGATCATGGTTCGTGGCTCGCTACAGTATTTTCTCTCACAAAAAACATACGTAAACTGAAAATAGTTATGAATCATGATTCTAAACTCATAAACTAAACGTATATGTTTTGGAATCAAGATTGAGTTAGGGGCTCAATCAAAACGAATTAAGGGTTTTTTTTTTTCAATTTAAAATAACAAATTGGTTTATGGCTACTATCATAATCTGTGTTATTCGATCTGCGAACATCTTTAATGAAAACATATTTAATAATCAAAACACAATAAAAATCGTAGTTCATTAAAAAAATAAGGATCTTTTGTTGTAGAGGCCCCTAGTGGTAGTGCGTGATTTTGATTTTTGGACATGGTCAAGATCACATAAAAAAAAAAAACCAAAATAGAACATATAGTTTTGATACAAATATGAAGGTTAAAAATAGAGAGCTATCTATAGTTCTTTTTTCAAGACCTACTGTGAAAATCTCCAAAATCAAAATATAAAAGCAGGATAAAGAAACGGGGAACTTCCTCAATATGAGTTGTACTTTTTAACTACTATTAGTTCATGTTATTTTATGCGTTTGACTAAGATTTTAGTAATTTGATTTATGAATATTTGTTAGGGCTCTTTTGGCACGGGCCTATCGACGTGGAAAGTGTAAAACTCGCGGCCTCATTTGGTTGGTCGATGTTATATGTACATCGGTCATACCCTGTCAGTGCGTCGGTCGACAGAGGCTAATGAGCTTCTAAGTGTGATTTTTGGCGTCGAAGATGGCCCGAGTGAAGATGTTGGCCCCGGCTGGGTTAGGCTAAACCCGGATGACCCCGAGGACAACGGTATCCGAGGGCGACATCCGTTGCGATTCCGGCTCTAAGATAGTGAAGAGTTTCAGATGAAGACTTCTAGTGAGCATACGGCATGGGAGAGGAATGTAACCGGTTTATGGAGGAAGTTCCTAAGCATGTAATTGAGTTATATCCATTTGTTTGTGAATAGAACGATTTCGACGGACGTAGTATGTTGGACGGGATAAGGCCCAATTTCCTTTTTTTTTTTTAATTATTAGCTGATTAGAAAATTTTCTTTTTCAATGCGATTGTATCTTTTTATTTTTCCAGGGGAAGTCGATCTAGGGCACTTGACCTTCAATCGGACGGTTTAGAAAAGCTACGTATTCTGTATATGAGTTACGGTACTGTAGTCATGCCCTTATTTTTTGTTCCTTATAATTTGTCCTCCTCCAATTGACCCACACATTTTGAAGCCCGCTTTCAATCCCAAATTTCGGGACACGTGAGCGTGATGCGACCCTTATCCACGAGAAATCCAATTGAAATCTTGTCCGAGGTCATGTGGTAAACGGAATCAACCGCCAACTTCCAACTTCGCTCCTTTCCCTCTCCTTCTTCTTCTTCTTCCAACCATTTTCTGCAAAACCATGATTTCTAATCCCTGAAACTCCATAACATAGAAAAATCATCCATCAATGGCAATAATTTCCACCGAGTTTTTGCCTCAGACCCTCCCTTTCTCTCCACAACCGAAACAACACACTTCAAGACAATCACATACTTGTCTCAGCTGCAGAAACCCTAGCCAAAGCTCAACGGACATCTACAGGAAGAAGAATAAGAAGCCGCTGAGAGTTAGGGTTTCGGTCGAGACGAAATCCCCCAATTCGCAGAGCAACAGCGATTTCTCAGAGTCTCATTTGCTGAAGGTCATCAATAGGTCCTGCAAATCGGGAAAGTACAACGAAGCGCTCTACTTTCTCGAGCTCATGGTGAGCAAGGGTTTCAAGCCTGACGTCATTCTCTGCACGAAGGTGATGAGAGGGTTCTTCAATTCGAGGAACATCCCGAAGGCGATTCGGGTTATGGAGATTCTGGAGAAGCATGGGGAGCCTGATTTGTTCTCGTACAATGCGATGATCAGCGGGTTTTGTAAGGCGAATCGGGTTGAATTGGCGAACAAGGTGCTCGATCGAATGCGGGTGCAGGGGTTTTCGCCCGATACGATTACGTACAACATAATGATTGGGAGTCTCTGCAGTAGAGGAAAGGTTGATATGGCTTTCAAGGTTTTGGATGAGTTGTTGAGGGATAATTGCAAGCCGTCCGTGATTACTTACACGATTTTGATCGAGGCGACAATTAGTGAGGGCGGGGTTGACAAGGCAATGGAGGTTTTGGAGGAGATGTTGTCAAGAGGGCTTTTGCCTGATATGTTCACTTACAATGCAATTGTTAGAGGGATGTGTAGAGAAGGAATGTTGGATAGAGCTTTTGAGTTTGTGAGGAGCTTAGAGGCTAAGGGTTGTAGTCCCAATGTGATCTCTTACAACATCTTGTTAAGGGCGCTTTTGAACCGCGGAAAATGGAGTGATGGTGAGAAGATACTGAGTGACATGGTGTCAAGAGGGTGTGAGCCAAATGTGGTGACTTACAGCATCTTGATCAGCACGCTTTGCCGCGACGGTAAAGTCGAGGACGCGGTGAATGTGCTTAAGGCGATGAAGGAAAAGGGGATAACCCCGGATGCTTATAGCTATGATCCGTTGATCTCTGCGTTTTGCAAAGAGGGAAGATTGGATTTGGCAATAGAGTTCATGGATTACATGATCTCTGATGGTAGTTTGCCTGATATTGTGAATTACAACACTATCTTGGCTGCTTTGTGTAAGAATGGCAATGCTGATCATGCTTTGGAGATCTTTGAGAAGCTAGGCGAAGTGGGGTGTCCTCCAACTGTGAGCTCCTACAACACAATGTTCAGTGCATTGTGGAATTGTGGGGAGAGAATCAAGGCTTTGGAAATGATATCAGAGATGGTTAGCAAAAGGATTAACCCTGATGAAATAACATATAATTCACTCATATCTTGCTTGTGCAGAGAGGGAATGGTGAATGAGGCTATAGGGTTGCTGATAGACATGGAAGCTGGTGGATTCAAGCTTTCTGTTATCAGTTACAACATTGTTCTTCTCGGGTTGTGCAAAGCTCGTAGGATTGATGATGCCATTGAATTACTCGCGGCAATGGTTGAAAAGGGTTGTCGGCCAAACGAAACTACTTACACTCTGTTGATCGAAGGGATCGGATTCGCAGGATGGCGAGTTGAAGCTATGGGGCTCGCCAACTTGCTTTTTGATATAGAAGCAATCTCAGAACATTCCTTCAAACGTTTGAACAAGACCTTCCCAATGCTTGATGTTTATAAAGAGCTTACTTTGTCGGAAATTAAGAACTAAGTTATGATGACTTGCTTTTTTGAGCCGTTTCAAACGATTGTCTTATTCTTTTTCTCGTGATTTTTGTTGGGTTATTATATCTTTGTTCGAATTTCAGCATGAAGCATGAAAGCGAATTTAAAAGAAATTTCAGATGGAATATAGGGGAAACGGTCCACTCCATTCATGGAAAAAAAAAGTACAAATAAATATAAAAGGGAATAAAGCTCCAAACAGAGACACTCAATAAAACATCAAAAACAAGAAGAAAGAGGAAAAGATGTGTTTTCTTTAAGCATACAAATATGGTGCTGAGCTTGTTATGATATCCAAAACGAGCAACATATTTTGATGCATTCAAGGTGACAGAATGCTTATGAAATATTAGTAAATGAGTTCACAAAACTAATAAGAGTCTCTTTCAAGTAATTACTTTTGCTATAAGTAAAAGTCTCTACCCAAGTACCCATCGGGTTTTCATAAAAAGAGATACGAGACCACAAGTAAAAGCCCGAAGTATTCAAGATATGCATGACAGCCTCAAACAGGGACTCAGAAATGCTTACTTATCAACATGCCTAAAGGATAAAAAATTTCACCTGCAAAATTGATTTCTAATACAACATCAAGCATGAAACAACTCTCCTACAAGCCTAGAATTAAACAAAGTAAAAAAAAACTTTGCATAGAAACTCAGTTCGTTCCAACATGATTGGTCTCTTCTCCCAAAACCTTCAATCTAGTCAACTTTTGACGCAGCTCATAAGCCTCCTTTGACATACCAGCAGCAGCTATACCTTTGATGATGGTCAAATAAACTGATTCGTTAGGTGTGCATCGACTTGATATCATCATTTGCAGAACTTGTATTGCAATTTCCACCTTGTTAATTTTGCATAGCCCATGGATCACTGATCTAAAAGTACTATTTCTGACCTTTTGACGTCTCCTGCGCATCTCCTTCAACATTTCTGCGGCTTCCTCAAATAGATCTGCTCTGCAGAACCCATAAATCAAAGACTGATGGGTAATATCGTCAGGAGAGATTCCAAGTTCCATCATTTGAATATACAATCTCACGGCTTTCTCCATATAACCCATTTTAGCAAATCCATCAATCACAATGTTATAAGTGATCAAACCAGGAGAACAGCTGGTGCCGCTCAAAAGAGCAAGTAGTTGGAGGGCCTCATCCACCATTCCCTCTTTACAAACAGGGCCCAGGAGAGTGTTATAAGTGACAATGTCTGGTGAGCAATTCTCGGATACCATTTGAGTGAAGAAGTCAATGGCTCGATCCAAAAGCCCAAATTTACACAAACCATTGATCAAGATGTTGTAAGTAATAACCGTCGCAGGCTGCAACGTTCTGTTCATCATGTTCAGGATTTCATCCACTTCATCCCAGCAACCATTGCTACAAAGAGAGTGGAGAAGAGTATTGTAAGTTACAGCATTGGGCTCCATCCCGTGAGACAAAAGATTATGCATAACTAAAGTTGTATCCTCAAATTTTCCCTGTTTACACGTAAAGTTGACTAGAGAATTGTAGGTAATTATATCGGGATAACAACCTTCAACTGCCATCTCTTCAAGTACTTCAATGGCTCGCTCAACACCTAGGTTCCTGCAGACTAGGTCGATGAGAATAGTGTATGTAACGAGATAAGGAGGACACCCCTTTCTCAATTGGTCCTTCCAAAATCCAACAGCCTGATTAAAATTCCCATTATCAAACATGTACCTTATAATTGTATTATAAGTAATGACATCTGGAGGGCAACCACTCAAGCTCATTTCTTCCAAGAGATCAATGGCAGATTTTAATTGCCCTCTCTTACAGAGGGCACTGACCATCATGTTGTATGTGATGATGTCCGGAATCCCACCAGACATAACCATGACTCTCAAGACCTTGGAAGCATTATCTATCTTATCAATTTTGATAAGGCCTCGGATTAAGTTTGTGCAAGAAGGGAAGTGCGGAATCTGGTCCCGGCGTCCCATAACATCAACCAACCTTGCTGCCTCCATCACTTTCCCGCGGGTGCAAAAGTGCCGAAGAATATCATTGTTGGTTTTCTCGTTGTTCCCAACAAATCGTCCTTCTAAATTCAACGTTGAAGGCTCGTGAGGCCTCCTTGTACTACTTGTTCCCTGTCCAATTTTTCTCTCAACGTCCATCTCATAACTATCAGAAGTCCACTCATCTTGTTCAACTTCATCTAAGCTACTAACGCTAACACTTCTCTGCAAACTTACACACCCCGAAAAATGCGCGCTTCTTTTGGAACTGAAATCTAATCTCCACCGTAAAGGAAATTGAGTACTATGATTATTCTTGTTCAAGCAATTTATGTGAAGGACAGACATTTTTACATTTGAAGAATGGCCAATGCCACAACAAGGACCATCCTGTTTCGGAATTCGGTCATGACCACCAACCAAAAAATTCTGTTGGGAAACTACATAACCCATTTATCCTACCTCTTTTAGGTAAAAGAACCAGAAAAAGAGCTTTTAAGACATGTAATACTAAGACCGGATAATTTTCATACCAAGACAGATTCTCCCCGGGAATAGCCTGGCCTTAAAATGAACTGTACGTCTCTGCTTTAGAATGAAAACCAGACTCTGCAAAAGTTCCAAAGCAATAAAATCAACACCAGAAAATTATATGGAGGGGAACGAAATGAACAAACTTCAGAAAAATAAAAATAAAAAAGCATAAACTTTCAGCGCTTAAAACCTTCAAGAGGAGACAAAAAATAAAACCATATTGACTATTAATATCAAAATTGAATAAACATATTGCAACACGACTAATATGATTCCATTAAATGACAGAATGAACTCCTAAAACTGGGTTACAAGAACTATTACAAACATGAAATCAGTTGACTGTAAAACTAATGGGAAACGGATAATAAGCCAGAGCTAACACCATCCATTAGCAGAAGAGCTAGCTGGTCGAACCCAAATTTTTTTTCTTTTAAAAGAAAATTGCAAGAGAAATTAAATATTTACCAGGAATTTGGAAGAGGAAGAAGAAACTGAAGCCTGGGAAGAAGAAGGTCTCTGGGCAGCGGCTGATTGATAGAGTTGACAGGGGATGTTTTAATAACTAGGTTTCGCATTTACGGCTTTTAAATATTTAATTTAATTTTTATTAATAAAACCATGTTTTTTTTTCCTCTAAAAAAAAAAAGAAAGAAAAAGAAGCCATTAAAAAAAAGGGAAAAAAAACCTAGCTGGGGAAAAAAATAAGGTGTTACCCGAAAAAGGAAAACTACGAGGGATGAAAATGAAAAAGAAGAAAGATAAGGGGATAAAGAGCATAAAAAGCAAGATAAGGGCAGTTTGGCAAAATATAAAAACTTCAGAGGAGGCACGGGACATGAGACAAAACTCAAAAGCCACATTCTATAAGAAAAATTTCCATGAATGAAAAATTTCCTCATTCTCACACTCTGTAAGGAAAATTTCTTCCTTGTTGTGCTGTAAAAATATCCCAATACTCACAATCGCTATTTCGTGATTGAAAATCTTCAGGAAATAGGTATTAAACTATCTTCATTTCTTCGATTCCATGAATGTCTAATATTGTTATGGAAGTGTTTGATGAAAGAAGTAGTAGAGATTGAATCTTTTTCATGGTTTTGATTGATTGAAGTTAGAGAGAGAGAAGTGGGTGAAGTGAAGATGCAAGGGTTTCAAGAGAGAGGTGGTGGTGGTGGGGCCCCTCCAGATTTGGCCCAGCTTCAGTCCACCATGCGCGCCATCGAGCTTGCTTGCACTTCCATTCAGGTTTTTGCTTTTAACTCTTTCTTGTTCTGTTTGCTTGTCTAGTAAATTAATCGAGGAGTGTTTGTGATAATCAGAAAACCCCACATTCCCGTTTTCCGAGAAAAGAGTGGGAAGCGTTGAAATGAGGGGAGGAAAATCAGATAACCCATGATCCCAATTGGTGAGAAAAAGGTCTCTAAGCTCTTTTGAAGATGGGTGTTTGGAATTTTAGTTCGTAAAGAAGCGGAAATGGAAATGAGATTTGCTTGTTGGGTTGCTGAAAATTTTGCTTTGTGGAGAGTATTCTTATTAGTTGGAAATTATGAATATACAATTTAGATATGAAGAGTAAAACATGCTTAAAAGTGTTAATGTGATGTTTGTCTGAATTTGTGCTAATATATAGTTACTTCTGGATATAATCTTGTTGTTTGGCTTTAACGCAATGGTTTTCTATCAATGCTGATATTATGTTCTTTATATCTCATAAACTAGCTGCAGTAATACGTGTTTGTTGCCATTTATCAGATGCATATGAATCCTGCCGAGGCTGAGGCGACTATATTGTTGCTGGCCCAGTCCCACCAGCCATACCAAGCTTGTAAATTCATCCTCGGTAAGTTTATATATATATATATATATGGAATTTTTATGCGCGTGCTATATACTTAAATTTTTGTTTTTCTGGACTAGTTAGCCACATCATAAGCATATTCTTAGTCCTCAGTATACTGGATGTAGATTCAGATAAAAAAGACAGATTTACATTGGAAAGAACATATTTTGCGAATCCTAGCTGATACTGCTAAATGATAAGGATTAGCTGTAGTAGCGATATGCAGTATTTAGTAGTTCTATTTTGAATTGCCAGCGCTGATTATGATTCCTTTTACATATCAGAGAATTCTCAGGTGGCAAATGCAAGATTTCAGGCAGCAGCAGCAATCAAAGATGCAGCTATAAGAGAATGGGGTTTCCTTAGTCCTGATGACAAGAGAAACTTGATTAGGTTTTATCATGTTTATATGCTTTTTATGTTTTTCACTACAAAGAATGATCTTTACGTATCCATATCTTTGCTATATGTACATGATAGTTCATTTGATTGTGAAAGTGCTAGTTGATCTTAAATATTTGGTAGTTTTCTACTTAACCGACATGCTTTCTGATCATTCCCAAATACTTTTCTTCTTGCAGTTTTTGTTTGTGCTTCACCATGCAGCATGCTAATTCTCCTGAGGGCTATGTTCAAGTGAAGGTTTCTTCGGTGGCTGCTCAACTGTTGAAAAGGGGCTGGTAAGTGGTGCATATATTAAGGGCCCGTTCGGTTCGCTAATTCGAGTTGAGATGTGATGTTGTGTGAGAGCTTTTTACTGTAGCAAAAAAGTTAGATGTGACTGTTTCTGAGAGCTTTTTACTGTAGCAAAACTCGAATTAGCGAAATGAACGGGGCCTAAGTCATGTGTGCCTGATAAAGCTTGTAATATATTCATTTCCTTTCATTGCTTTCATCATGGTATAATTTTATTTCATGCGGATATGGGCTATTTCCAAGAAGAGTAGTTAGTACTAAACTCTGTGCCAACTTCATAACCGAGCTTTTGTTGCAATTTATTGCAACTCCAGGTCAAATAAAAAATCAGTCATAGGATAGATTTGAAACTTTAAGTGTTTCTACAAAGACATACAAATGAGTACTTTCTCCTTACGTAGCCATATTTTGCGTGTAGGCTTGATTTTACAGCTGTTGAGAAGGAGTCATTTTTCTATCAGGTACTAAACTTTCTCCATATCTGGATTGGTAATTAAGATGACAAGTTAATCATCGGCATGCTGTTAATCCTTTCAGCACACCCGCTGTCCCATATTACCAACCATAGCACTGATTGCTTTCGTCTAAAAATTCTGTCTGATTTTCAGGCAACCTTTTCTTAACGTTTTTTTTATTATTTATTATTTTTTTATTTTTTTGTTAAATTTAATTTTATGGCATTTCTAATCATTTTGGAGCTGCAGGTCAACCAGGCTATTTCTGGAATCCATGGTGTAGATGTGCAGTTTGCCGGAATAAATTTCCTGGAATCTCTGGTATATGTCTTTCTCTGGATTACTTCAAGTTAAATAATGTAGGTTACTGACGAGTTTTTCTAGAAACTGTGTTGTCCCTTGGTTCTAGTTTTTATTAGTTCTGCATCAGTGTTTAAGATGTTGCCAGATTTTGGGCTAAGAATGTCTTGTCTTAGGTATCTGAATTTTCCCCTTCTACGTCAACTGCAATGGGCCTTCCCAGGGAATTTCATGAGCAATGTCGAAAATCATTAGAGCGAGACCACTTGAAGGTATTCTGTTCTCTACTGCTTCTGGATCATTTGTGGAGGACATTTTCATTTTGTGTTGTTTTCGGTTTATACGACTGGCATCTTCTTGCTACTATCAACCCTGTGTATTTGTGATTTTTCCTGATTTGTTTTTCTCCATGGCATTTTCACTTTCTCTTTTATAATAGACATTCTACTGCTGGGCACGAGATGCTGCTTTAAGTGTCACAAATAGAATAATTGAATCCAATTCTGCAATTCCTGAGGTTAAAGCCTGCAATGCTGCTCTTCGGCTCATGCTTCAAATCCTGAACTGGGATTTCCTGTATAAGAGCAGTGGTGCAGCATCTAGTGTATTCTCAGGTGGAGTCAGGCAAGATAATGATTCACCTAAGAGGTCTGAGGTTAATCTGGTGCAGGTATCTAATTCTCCCTATATTCTTCTGTTTGTGGTTGAACGTAATTCTATTAAATGAAGCCTAATGATAAGCTTGTTGATTCGTAGCGCTTATGCGGATACTAGATAATGCCATTTCCTAATAGACTATAGTAGCTGATTCCTTCTCAACATGTTCTTCATGTATCTTCAGTGTCATTAGCTGAAAAGTATGTTTTCACTGAAAACAACTATCAGTAGTGGTTGACTATTTATGTTGAGTCACCGCTATTTATGCCTCTAACCTTCCAGTTCTTCTTTTTTGCTATATTTACTGACACTCCGGTAGGCAGCGTAGTGATTTTTAAGTCATCACGGTTAATGATTAACACTTACTTCTTGTTCTCATATTATGCTGTTGCAGCCGGGTCCTGCATGGCGCGAGATTTTGGTCACCAGCGGGCATATTGGATGGCTCTTGAGCTTATATGCTGCATTGAGACATAAGTTTTCATGTGAAGGTTACTGGCTGGACTGCCCTATTGCTGTCTCTGCTCGAAAGTTAATTGTTCAGTTCTGCTCCTTGGCAGGGACAATATTTCCTTCTGGTAAAATTAATTCCTTATATACTTGTGCCTTAATCATCAGATATATTATTTTTAAAATCTGAGGTGTTTTCTTGCTTTTGTATAATAAATTTATGACGCGAGCATCTGATAAAATCTGTTGAAACTTCATATTTTAATTTAGTTGAATTTTTTATTTGTGAGCCATAAATGTTTTAAAAATCTGTTATCACAAATGTCGACATGCGTAAAGAATTCAACAGGGTTTGTTCTTTTATTGCTAACTTTTACTTTTGTGCTTCCAGAGAAAGTTCAACGTTTATGTTTAAGCCGTGACAAAAATAATGTGAAAGAAAAATTCACTTATGCATGAGCTGTCAACCTCTAAATTTACTTCTATCTGACCTTAGTAATTGAAGTTTTTCAATATTTCTTCATTAGTTTGGGGTTTTTTTTTTTATTATTTTTTATTTATTAGAGCACTACAGTTCAATTTGTAACTTGCTCAATATTCTAGATAATGTGCAAATGCATGAGCACCATTTGCTTCAATTGCTTTCTGGGATAATAGCGTGGATTGATCCTCCTGATGCTGTTTCAAGAGCAATAGAATCTGGAAAGAGTGAAAGGTTCACGTTCCTCACAACCATATTTCACCGTTATATTAATTGTTCCTTTTATATTTCTGATGCCCTCACGCTCTTAGTGATCTTCAGTGAAATGCTTGATGGTTGTCGTGCGTTGTTATCCATTGCAAATATTACATATCCCACTGTGTTTGACCAGCTCTTAAAATCAACAAGGTTAGTTGCAAAGTGACTTATTATTAACTTATAATTTCAATCAAGTCAAATCATGTGTTGCAATATTGTTGAATTGTATAAACTTTTTTTTTTTTTTTTTTTTTTGTAACTGCGTTTATGCCCTTTGGCACCCTTACCTTGTTATCAACCTTGATGAGCGAAGTTGTTAAGAACCTCATGAATAATGACTCTGAAGAAGAGACATGGAGCTGGGAGGCGCGTGATATTCTACTAGATACGTGGATTGCCCTTCTCGTGGTATTTATTTTCTCTTCACATCTTTCCTTCTATAAATAGAAGAATAAGGCAACACCGCAACCCACTTTTTTTTTATTGTATCTTATCGATCTTGAAGGGCAATAGTGTAATCTTCTGCTTGAATTGTTGAAGCCCTTGTTCTAGTTTGTAGCAATATCACTGTCGTTTATGTATATCTTTTCCAAACCAATCAAAAAAATTTAAAAATTTCTGCCATCTTCTTTCAGCCAGTGAATAGGAATAGTGGGAATGCGTTGCTTCCACCTGAAGGAAGAAGTGCTGCAGCTAATCTCTTTGCCTTAATTGTGGAGTCTGAGCTAAGGGGTAACTTTTTTGATATGTCACCTTCACTTCTGCTCTGGTTCAGCAATCACACTTGTTTGTTTTCTTGTATTATCATCCAATAACAGTTGGTCCTTTGTGGCGTAGCTGCTTCTGCATCGGCATTTAACGACGATGTCGACTCGAACTACCTTCAGGCTTCCATTTCTGGTATGCCAGAATACTACAAGAACTTACATATGGCACATTAATTGAATTAGCTAAAAAATTTGAACTTACATATGGCACATTAATTGAATTAGCTAAAAAATTTAACTAGTTTAATGGCGGTAAGAATTTAGATTTGCCGTATGACTTTCATTAGTCTTTTAAGTTTTTGTTGTTTGATAATGGCAGCCATGGATGAAAGGTTGAGCTCCTATGCTCTTATTGCGAGAGCAGCAAGTGATGTGACAATTCCTTTTCTCATTGAGGTGTTTGCTAAGGGCTTTGCTCGGATTACTCAGGTGTTCCTTTGCCTTCTGATTTTTCTCAATCATAAGTTTCTTGAATGACACCAAGTATCTTGTCAGAACTGAGGAAACTAATCAAGGGGCTCGCATTCTTAATTGTGTTTTGCTTTGCAATCAATGTTTACGCATTTTTCCCTTTTAAGTTCGCATCTCTGCTTCATCAACGCTTTTGTGTTTTTTTGACATAACCTGTGTTCTGTCTTCTTTATGGAGAAACATAATAATCCACGAAGTACATTCTCTGCTTCAGCTGCTCATTTCTAAAGTTATTTTACTTGTTCATAGGGCAGGGGCCTCGTTGATCACACTGAATGTTTGGAAGAACTCTACTCATTGTTACTCATCATTGGCCATGTAATTGCTGATGAAGGGGAGGGAGAAACACCATTGGTAACTGTTTAATATTTTGTTCTATGATAAAATATTTTGCTTGTTTTTTAAGTCCAATTCATATTGTTGATGTGCATTCAAAGATTCTTGACAGTTACTATATGCTTTATTGTGCTGTACTTTCCTGTCTTCTCTTCACATTGGTTGTTAGTTTGCACACAACTGCCAAACGTTAGTAACAAACTACAATCAACAACCCTACAATTGTATTTAGAACATGTCATAAAAAGACAATCTGTGTCTGCATTTATTTTAAATGTATTTTTTTTCACCGTGCATTTATCAGGTTCCGAACGCCATACAAACCCAGTTTTCTGATATTTTGGAGGCAGAGAAGCATCCCGTTATTATACTTTGTAGGTAAAGTGTTCTCTATCAGTAGACCAGATAATTCATTCCTTTGTAGGAAATTGGATCTTGCCTACATCCTATTAACTCGACCCTTGTAATGGAAAAGTAATAATAAGCTTTTGAAGAGTGTTCAAACGTCAGATTATCCAAATTTCTTATCTCTTGCTGGACTTTGCAATATTTTAGTCATTTACTTGTCCATCTCCACATGTCACTGTTTTAGAAAATCCATGCTGTACAAGAAATCAGCATGCAGGTCTCATTGTGTCATATCATGTTTTTGTTTATACCCACATGCTAAACCTTTCTTTTTTCTTTAAAAAAAAAATGCTATGCATTCTGATTTTTTTTTCCTTGTCATTTTCTGTAGCCAAAGTAGGTATGTACTGTGTAGTAATTTGTTTGCTAAAAGGAACTAATTTATGTCTGCTATTACAATTTTATCCAGCTCAATCATAAAATTTGCTGAGCAGAGTTTAAATCCAGAAATGAGAGAACTGGTGTTCAGTCCCCGACTTATGGAGGTAATATTATAGAATACTCATGCATCAACTGACTATTCTTTTCCTTTCTACCCATTTTGTATTCTGCCATGGACTATAATCCATAGATGATCACTGTAGAATTTTAATTTGCTGAGAACTTGTTGCTAAACTGTTATGTCCTTAATAGTGATAATATGTAAAACTATGGTATCCAAGGCACTTCAACTGTATAAAATGTGCTACTCTACCATTAGCTTCTACTTTGTGTTAATTATCATGTCTGTGTGTAGTGTTATCAAGCTGATAGTGTATCTGCCGTTTCTTTATGCTGTTCTGAGAATGAGCTTAAAGAAGGTTTTTTTTTTTTTTAAATTATGTGAATTTACTAGTTGTTGACCATGCTACCAATTTAGATGGTGACCTTATGCTTTATGCAGGCTGTTATATGGTTCCTTGCAAGATGGTCTTCTACGTATTTAATGTCCCCTGAAGAGAATGCAGATCTGAACTCTAGTAAAGTGTTAGTGGAATTTTTTGGACAACATAATCAAGGAAAACCTGTGCTTGACATTATAATTCACATATCCCTGACAGCCCTTGTATCGTATCCAGGAGAAAAAGATCTGCAGGTATGTGTTAAAAGATTCTCATTGCTTCAGTCTTGGAGAGTTCTGACTTTGAGAAATACTTTTGTTTCTGATTTTGAGAAATAATTTTCCTATTCTCTTGTTCGCTTTATGCCTATGAAGAAAACTAAGAGAGTATCCACAAACCGTGCATGCATCTATGCTTGTTTTGATCCTTTTTATCAGTAATGTATGCATGCATACATAAATATGAATTAACTTAAGCAATATGATTTTGTGTAATATTTTGATTTGTGGCTTTTAAATTTGAAAAATGTTAGATTCTGGTCCTGATAAAAAGATCTGCTGGTGTCATTATTTGTGCTTATTTGGCAGGCCCTCACTTGTAACCATCTACTCCACGCACTTGTTCTGCGTAAACATATTTGTGTTCACCTTGTTCAACTGGTAAGTCTATTTTAATTGCTGTAGTTTCTAAACCTCTGGAATATATCACCATAGTTTGATTCTTAAGACATATTCGTAATGACCTTGTTGTGCTGGTTACTTGTGTCCTTTTAAGATGAAGAAACGAGACTGACTGCTCATATGGAAGAAATTTTAGATGTATTATGCTTCTTAAACTTCTCTAGGGCAAGGTTATTTTCTTTGAGACATCTTTCTGACCATTTTGAATCTAAAATATGGATGACCTCGAGTGAGTGTAGGTCTTATTTTCACTTCCAGTCAGTTCTAAATATTCTGATGAACCCAAAAAAAAAAAAGTACGTTTATAATTTTTCTTGTATCTTTTGTCAATCTGTCTTGATAAGCTCAATATTACTGACAGGATTCTTGGCGCGACCTAGCAAATGCATTTGCTAATGATAAGAATTTGCTTTTGCTTGATACGGCGCACCAGGTAGAACATGATATGCCTTGCTTATAGTTGCTTAATCTAATTGCCTTCTTTGTTTAAGCACCATTGTTTCTTCTTCACACAGCGGTCACTTGCTCAAACACTTGTTCGTTCAGCTTCTGGCTTGAGGAATTCAGAGTCATCAAATCAGTGAGTTTTCCATTTTAAAGGCTCTTTCGAACTTTTACCTCTATCTTATTGAAGTTATATCATATACATTTTAATCCCTGTCCACTATCTCCTTTAGGTATGTAAGGGATCTCATGGGTCATATGGCAACATATCTTGTGGAACTGTTGAGAAAGAATAACTTGAAAAGTATTGCTCAACAACCAGACATTATCTTGTCGGTGAGGATACGAACTTTACAATCCATCAGTTATTCCTTTTACAACCAATTACATAACATCTCATAATCCTTTAGGTCAGCTGCTTGTTGGAGCGGCTTCGTGGAGTTGCTAGTGCATCAGAACCTCGAACTCAGAAAGCGATCAATGAGTTGGGATTTGCAGTAATGAACCCTGTTCTGGTACTTCTTAAGGTTTACAAAGATGAGGTATTGTTCATATTCTGAGAAACTGTTTTCATATACCAAAATTTTTCTCATCTTTGGGTGTTGCATTGAATTCCAGCAATTTGAGGATCCACTTAGTTGTAACAACCTTTTTTTTTTACTGATCAGTCTGCAGTTGTTTATCTGCTGCTCAAGTTTGTTGTCGATTGGGTGGATGGACAAATAAGCTATCTAGAGGCTCATGAAACTGCGGCAGTGGTTAATTTTTGCATGAACTTGCTTCAGCTTTACTCTTCACACAATATTGGCAAGGTACTATTCCTTTCTTTTCTTTCGACTGTCGTCTTCAAGACCTAAATATTATCTCATTTGACAGGAAAATAACTGAGTAGGAACATAGTTGACCATTTCGATCGTCGAACTCATACCATACCCAAATGTTATTTTTTACCTAATGTTATTCCAGATATCATTAAGTCTTTCAAGCAGCTTACTCAATGAAGCGAAGACTGACAAGTACAAGGATTTACGCGCTCTTCTTCAACTCCTTTCTAATCTTTGTTCAAAAGATCTCGTATGCTCTAAGTCTTTTACTTCTTTGCACTTATAATTTGGCTCTCCCAACTCCCAATACTAGTAACCTTTTGTGTAAGCTTAATCCGGAACACTGAATTGCAGGTTGATTTTTCATCAGATTCTAACGAGACACAAGGCACGAATATATCTCAGGTAAGTCAGATTTCGTTCCTCTAATTAATATAATATAAAGATTGGGGGTGTCTAATGCATTATTGATCATGCAGGTCGTGTACTTTGGTCTTCTTATAATTACCCCTTTGATAACTTTGGACCTGCTGAAATATCCCAAGCTGTGTCATGATGTAAGCTGCTAAATTATTATTATTATTATTATTATTATTATTATTATTATTATTGTTATTATTATTATTATTGTTATTGTTATTATTATTATTATTGTTGTTATTGTTATTGTTGTTGTTGTCGTCGCTGTTGATTATCATTATTATTATTATTTAAGTATTATTATTATTGTTGTTATTGTTATTGTTGTTGTTGTCGTCGCTGTTGATTATCATTATTATTATTATTTAAGTTCCATGGTGTCAACCTGGTGATATTTTGTGAAGCTAAATCTGGTATATTCTTGCGCAGTACTTCTCTCTGTTATCACATCTGTTGGAGGTTTATCCTGAAACGGTTGCACAACTAAACACTGACGCCTTTTCTAATGTACTTGGAACTCTTGATTTTGGTCTTCACCATCAGGTACGCAATTATTCATCCATTACTTATGATGTAGCTTTAAGTATAGCATAAAAGTATAGCACAACTTAATTTGTTCTTTTCTTAGCCCGTGTATTTTTTTAGAAAGTTTTGCTTGTACAAGAAATTGATAACTGGTTCCTTGTCTACCGGCTAGGACATAGATGTGGTAGATAACTGTCTGAGAGCTTTGAGAGCTCTTGCTTCTTACCATTACATCGAAACAAGAGGTGGTAAAACCGGACTTGGCTCGCATGCCGCTGGGCTCAAGGACCAGGGTGGGAATCTTCAGGAAGGCATCTTGAGCCGGTTCCTTCGTTCTTTGCTGCAATTACTCCTTTTCGAGGATTACAGGTACTTTGGTGGTAAACAAACTCAATGATGCACCTTATTACTTACAATTAAGCGTACTGCATGCATCTATTCGAATGTGACAGATTTTTTTTTTTTCACCTAATTTGAAGTTCGGTTTTTTACTTCAGTCCGGACCTGGTCAGCAGTGCGGCGGATGCTCTTCTTCCGTTGTTACTTTGTGAACAAGGCCTCTACCAGGTATTTTCATTCTTACATATTGAAGAAGGAAAAAAGGGCTCCACTGGTTTATGCTTTCGAGAAACTTTTAGTAATAAAATAACAAAATATATTCGTTCTCAGTGTATTCTTGTTCTCTTTTTGTTATCGTCGTTGGCATGTTTGATGTCACAGAGATTGGGCAATGAGTTGATAGAGAGACAGCCAAATGAGACGCTGAAATCAAGGTTGGCGAATGCATTGCATGGTTTAACAAGCGCAAATCAGCTTATGTCGACTCTAGAGCGCAAGAACTATCAAATCTTTAGGAAAAATCTAACGAGCTTCCTCATTGAAGTAAGAGGATTTTTGCGGACAAAGTAGAAATGCTTCACAAGATGCTTCATGCATACGTAACGTTCTTGGAGAGAAACGGGAAGGAATTTTTTTCTTTTTCTTCTTTTTTTTTTCTTTTTGGGTTGTGGGGTTCAATTTTCTCGCGTGTACAAAAAAAAAAAAATTGGAACAGACGAAAGAGCTGTTGGCGATGTGCTACTTGTAAATCCATGATTGTGAATATTCCAAGTAATTTCATTGTTGTGATTCTATACGAGTGATTGATTCCAAGTAATGGCATTCGTACTTGTTTTGTTTGTTTAATTACCACGAATGGCGGTTCATTTGTTTGGTTCTATACAAGTGATTCCAAGAAATTTAATTTGTTGCTCTCTAGCAAAAACGGTAGAACATAGATGTCGTTTCCGACTGACTACAGTATAAGGGAGTAATGGGTTATCATCTTTGGGAGATGGTTTGATTTTGAGGAAATAATAATAAATTTAATGAAGGGAAAACGAAATGAAACGACAAGTGACAAAAGAACAGAAAAGGAAAAACGACAGTATTAGGGAAACCAAAAGAAATAAACGATAAAAAAAAAAGGGGGGGGGGGGGGGGGGAACGACAAGAAGTGATAAAACAGAAGAAATTAAAAACGACGGCAAAAGAATGAAATAGGACCAATATATATACATAAGACGTGAACAGCTAAGAAAGAGCATAAAATTACAACAACCTCAGAACACAATAAAATGTAAACGACAAATAAAAACAACAGAACCACAAAAACGACAACAAAGTTAAAACCGACGCCTAAGAAATAAACGACGGAAAAAATCAGGGATGTACGGACAACTTGGAGTACGGCATGAAACGATGAAAATAATGACAAAATGACTAGCAATGGGAAAACGGAAAGAAACAAATGACAAGAACGACTGAACGACAAAAACTGGAAAAGAAAAATCGAAATGACAGACCTATAAACATGTGAGAGCACGAGAATATAAGTAAATTATTGGACAACCGATAACAAAAATGTAAAATAAGCATGATGCGGGAACAATTTCAACACGACAACAACATATGAAAGACAAACATAAACGACACCTAAAAAAGACAATGAAAGTAAACCTGACACCTAAGGAAGAAAACCGACAGCAAAATGTGAGGACCGTAAAGACATGAAATGATGAAACTATAAAAGAACGTACAAAACAACAGGTGGCGAAACCACAGAAGCATAAAATAACGAGCACAGAACGACAAATGGAGGAAATGTGAAGAAACAAATGACAACGAAGGGAAAAACCTGCCACAATATATAACTTCAAAATTGGAACAAAGTTCAAAAAGAAAAAAAAAATGGAACAAACATAACTATCAAAAATCCAATTTTTTTTTTTTTAAAAAGGTAAAAAAAAAAATGGAACCTCCACGTGTAAAGACTTGTCCACCAAAATAAAAACCAAGCTAAACTACACAGCCTCGGTAGGAATAGAAGTCAGCGGAACGAAAAGGAATTCTCACGGCACAAGCAAATGTTGATGGTACTTGACAACAAAAGCTAGAAACATCCTTTTCATTCATTGAAAAATTGTTAAAATCATCAGCTCCACAATACTTTCCTACATCCAGTTCATCCATATAATGAAAAATGAAATAAAAATATAAAATGGGCATTTTGTTCCCAAATCCAATTCCAGCACGATTGAGTTTACGACTCGGGTAAATTGGCAAATTTACTTGTGTAATACACTCTTCTTAAAAAGCTTCGGCCGTTTTTGTGATTGGTTCTGCCACAAATCAAAGAGATATTAAAGTTATTCGTTATAGAAACCAAGAAAAAAGGGAAAAGAACAATTTTCAAACAAATACAGAAGTCATAAATGTTACCTTATGTCTTTCTAGAGCCTCAAAATCTGTTCTCTCCTTCCAGTTGCTCTTGCGGAGTTTGATTGGTCTATTACCCACATACTTACCTGAAGGGAAAAAAAAAGTAAAAAAAATAAAAATAAAACAGCATTTATAAACACAAGTTAACCGCACCGCACATATATCATATAATAGTCGCTGTAATTTTATCCTACTTCCTTGGATAAAAAACAAGCACATGTGCGTTTTTGTGAACCCAATTTCATGCATCACAAAACTGGATACGCTAGGACTTTGAGCAGCAACCCAATCTATTTTCCAATTAAAGAAAATAAAATGAAAGAACGAACCAACCCAAAAAAACACCATTTTACACGGCGGGAAAAATAAATGGAATGCGTGAAACTTGAGGAACACTGATAGAATAAGTTGATACTTGATAGAGGATAATAATAGAACCCGCAATATGGGTCACAATACGACTCGAAAACGACACGAATTTCGCAGGTTAAGGTTGAGAAAAAAGAAATTCATATCAGAATTAGGTCGACCTAAAATTGACACGAAAAACACGGATCAATTTCAAGTTGGACCCGTCTAACCCGAACACGACACTGAACTCGTAAAAAATAAAAAATAAATATATTTTTCATTACATAATTTTGATTTTATTATGAACTTGTAATATCATAATAGTTATACTCAAAATCTTATACTATTATTTGCTTAATTTCAGTGAATGTTATTGTATTTTAGTGTGCTGTGAATTTTAAGTTATTTCTAATATGTAAAAAACTAAATAAAAAATATACAATTTTCGTGTCAATTTCGTTTCACGGGTCATTTTCGTGTCATGTCGTGTTCGTGTTACGGTTTTTAAAAAATTTCGTGTCACGGGTCGTATTCAGGTTGACTGTAAATTTAAAAAAAAACGATCAAAACACGACACGTGACACGAATTGCTAACCCTAGATAATAGTTCCTCATTAATCCTCTATTTGATTGGGGTATCACATGTAGTTTTTTTCTTTTTTTTTCCCTCAATTTTTCTTTTTATATATGAGGATAAGTCCAAGAAGAAGATTTCTCACTGTTCATTTCTTTAAGCGCAGCAGCAAGATCGGAAGGGTTGGCAAAGCTAACAAATCCATAGCCCTTGGTTTTGCCAGTCCTCTTATCTCTAACCACCTAAAGGTGTTATGAAACATAATATTATGTTATCAGCTCCGGAAAATCACAAATTAACAAAAACAAGCAAGAAACAGACTGCACAAACATCAATGCAATACAGATTTAGAAATGCATGCTACAAGTACAAATACAAGCACATTCAAAAACGAGCCGAACTGGGCAACAGTAAGACAAATCACCATTTATCTCAACTCACACCAAAAACAAGAAACAAAATACATCACCAATAGAAACAAAGAACACGACAATCCAACTTCAAAAAAGCCAATTGTATGGGAACCATGCAGGAATCCCTTCAAGCCAAAATTTCTGACACTGCTATTTTTCACAAATTTCAAAAACACCATGTGACGACCCTAGCTACGTGGCCGTCACTGTAGCTAACTTAACATATACTTACTAAATTTATCAAAATTTACATAACATTTTTTTTTAAAACATTCAAATTAAACTATTTTCTTTTGTTGCAACTAAAATTATAACGTATCGTATTAGTATATTTGTTTTTAAAAACATACATACATATTTATTGAGTCATACTAATTACTTACATCTTAATAATCATAATTAGGAACACTATCTAACATATAGTTTGAAAGTCATAATTAACAAAGTTACAAAACTATTTAACTTCTAGTTTGGAGATCATAATCATCGCACACATGATTTCATATTGACATAAACTTTGATTTCATATAAACATAAATTTTAACATAACTATTGGGAGTGTATACCACTTCCCGCATCATGTATGTATCTCAACATGTCTGAGGAACTGTTGTACAATACTATCTGTTGGGAGTGTTTAACACTTCCTGTAATACATCATCAAAAGAGTATAATCAGATCCGGGTGAGAGTGTCTAACACTTCTCACAGTAACGTCTAGTGAAAGTGTCTAACACTTCTCACTGTACATCAAAAAGGGGTCATATACAAAAGCGGGTTGTATAATAGGGGACTCTATTAGTCAGACGACAATCTTGACTATGCATCCAGGAACTCGTCATCCTCAAACATCTCAACCTCGGAGGGATCCTCCTCCTCAGTAAACTCATTGTCACTCACCAGGATGACGTGCTCGGGTTGTGGCATATCATTATCCTCTCTTGGCATATAATTTGCAATTGACTCATCCTCGTTGGCGATATATCCCTCTGCAGCTTCCTGCTCGTGTTGCTGCATTGGCATGGACTTGTTTCTACACTCTATGCAACTCCTGCTCGCCGTACACAATCTCTGATAAGAAGTGCTAGATATGGAGGTAATGGCCATGATAAGAAACGAAATCTCGCACATCTTGTGGTACACCTCTCCAGACTAGGTCACGAACCTCTACAGTTGGTATCAAAACCAGTATCTTGCCATCCTACTCCACATCGTTAGGCACCTGTTCCGCCACAATCCAAGTTAGAATTTATATAAGTATTTGAATTATATTTTAATGATATTATTCTGTAATAAAGTATGGTCGCACCAGTAGACCCGAGGCAGATCGATGACAATCGTAGAGTCGCAGTATCATTTCGGGATATGGAACCCGGTACCTTCTCTAGGCTTCGCCAGCCATATCTACTGATGGAGTAGATTAGCGACCTAGGGTTGATCTTCGATATTTGTCACATCGCGGACCGACTATGGGTACGCCTAGCCACCACGAGACTCGGAAGCCATGCCTTGGCTTGGTGGCTCGAATTGGGAGCTGAGCACTAGCGCCGCTACTGGGATGGATTTACGTTGCAGATTAGGATAGAGTTTGGACGAATACAGGCTCACGTTCCAGAGGAGCATAGTGATGCTCATATTTGGGACGATATGCAGATTAGACGTTATGAGGCTCTTGAGACTGGCTTATTGATGCAGATTAGCTGTTGCTATATAGTTTCAAGAGCCTCATAACGTCTAATCTGCATATCATCCCAAATATGAGCATCCCTATGCTCCTCTGGAATGTGAGCTACATCGTACTGTATCGGTCCAAACTTTATTCTAATCTACATCTTAAATCCATCCCAGTAACGGCGCTAGTGCTAAGCTCCCAATCCAAGCTACCAAGCCAAGGCATGGCCTCCGAGGCTCATGGCGGCTAGGCGTACCCATGGTCTGTGATGTGACAAATATCGAAGATCAACCCCAGGTCGCTAATCCACTCCATCAGTACTACAGTTGGCGAAGCCCATACTACAGCTGGCGAAGCCCATAGAAGGTACCGGGTACCATATCACGAAATGATACTGCGGCCTTACAGTCGTCGTCAATCTACCTCGGGTATACTGGTGCAACCATACTCTATTATAAAACAATGTCATTAAAATATAATTCAAATACTTTACATAAATTCTAACTTACTTAAACTGTGGCAGAACAGACGCGTAACGATGTAGATTAGGATGGCAAGATACCGGATCTGATACCAACTGTAAGGGTTCGCGACCTAGTCAGAAGAGGTGTACCGCAAGATGTGCGAGATTTAAATCCATATCCTGGCTATTACCTCCATATCTAGCACATGTTATCAGAGATCGTGTACGTCGACTAGGAGTTGCACAAAGTGCAGAAACAGCTCCAGGCCAACGCGACAGTAGCAACACAACACGAGCAAGAGACAGCAAAGGAATATTTCGCCGATGATGGGATGAGCCGATTGCAAATTATGTGCGAGAAAAGGATGATGATATGCCACCACCCGAGCACGTCATCCTGGTGAGTGACGATGAGTTTACCGAGGAGAAGGATCCCTTAGATGATGAGATGTTTGAGGATGACGAGTTCCTAGATGCATATGCCAATGCAGAGTCAGGATTGTCGTCTGACTGATAGAGTCCCCTAGATGATTATGATCTCCAAACTAGAAGTTAAATAGTTTTGTTAATTATGACTTTCAAACTATATATGTTAGATAGTTCTCCTAGTTATGACTATTAGGATGTATGTAAATAGTATGACTCAAGAAATGTGTGTTCTGGAAAACAAGTATACTGATACGATAAGTTATAATTTCGGTTGCAATAAAAGAAAATAATTTAATTTGAATGTTTAAAAAAATGTTCCGCAAATTTCAATAAATTTAGTAAGTATATGTTAACTAGGGTCATCACACACCATTCACAACTTAACCATATTAGTGCCTATTCAAGTGGTGGAGTCACATAGCTGCTTATTAAATTATCTTCAACTCTCTCATTAATAATTCTAAATCTTGAAGCCACTCTCTCAAAGTAGTCAGGCACCTATTGAAACAAATACTGCGATATATGAGTCTAGCAAGAACCTCCTATGTTTTCAGCCAGTCTACCACCCACCTACAATATCAACCAAATCCAGCTAACTCACTGAATCATTTCTTATTTGCCTATCTCCAGTCCTCCCTCACCATCCCACATAAAAAATATATATAGCAGATTCCTTCCTGAGGTGGTTTGATCGCCATCTTACTAGTGTATACCACCGACTAATAGCCAACTCCCTTAAAAACAGCCCAATGAACCATTACAGCTTTTTAGTGCATCCAGGCCATAAATCCCTCAATTGATTCAACTATACTCAAACTCTCAGGACTGAGATGAAATCTTGCAGTCCCATATACATAACTATAATGATAAGTTTGTGGAGCATCATGTCCATAGAGGTTAAGAAACACTAAAGAATCCTACTCCGGGGGTTCATAAATATCCAAAAACAAAACCCTTTTGAATGCTCAGATTGTTTACTAACCTGACTCCAACTCGCTCAAAACGACCCAACCAATCAACCAAGCTAGGACTCGAATAAGGTCAAATTAACAACTCAAGCTCCATATGTTGAATCCAGCTTCTTCCAATTTATGGTCAAACCTGATTTTAACCAGCTTTGAAACCTCATATTCAGAAACAAGCACTTAACATTAAGAATACACGGAACTTAAAACTCAAAGACATAATCCATATAAGCTGACAAGTATGACACCAATGATAAACATCACAAAAATAATATAGAAATCACATAACTTGGTTCCTTTTTAAACAACGGAAGATTAAGAATACACGGAACTTAAAACTCAAAGACATAATCCATATAAGCTGACAAGTATGACACCAATCGATAAACATCACAAAAATAATATAGAAATCACATAACTTGGTTCCTTTTTAAACAACGGGGGAGGGCACTTTGCATATTTCAAGATATAATAGGCTTGATATAATTTTGTAAACTGTAGACAATACCTACCTAAAACATCCAAAAAATTAACGGCTCTGCACACTTCAAATAAAAATCTGAAGAAGAAATGCACAAAGTTCATACTTCATACCAAGAAAGCAACTGGAAATAACAACAAAAGATCTGGAGAAAAACATATATTTGGAATAAACTTACTCTAGCCATGTTAAAGGAAGGAAAACGAGAAAATGCTTTAGAAAGCACATCATCGTTCACCTCATTACCAAGATCGCCACAAAATATGCGATAATCATCTGCAACAGACAAACAAAACTTTTTATTCCACAGAATTAAGGATCATTCAATTCAACTACAGATAAACTTGTGCCAAATTGAAACAACTCTTACTGAATCTATAATGTTAGTAGATAAAATAAAAATATTCACAATAAATATCAATTTCGAAATAGGAAAGCATATGAGCGACAATAAACGTACTTTCGGGCCATTCAGCAAGCGTTGGGTCCTCCCAAGACAGCCCCGCAGCTTTACGGGGAATAGCTTTCTTTTTAGCTTCTGCTTTGTGCTCGATTTCACTGTTTGCAAGCGCAGCTTTCACGCTCTCAAGAGCTTCGGGCGTAATCGTCTGTGCATCCCTTTGAAATAGTTGTTGCGCCTAATCATTTCCCCCAACACATTATACACCGAAAAAAATCCATATATACAACAAAGACGAAGAAATTCGAATCCCTAATTCAAAATTCGTCCTAAAAAGAAGAAGAGGGAATATACAATCTTGATCACGATTAAGGAAATTCAAGACAGCAAAAACCCTGAAGAGTTTGATGCTTACTTGCTGGTACTGAGGTAGAGAGTAGACACCGGCGACGGGAGCCGGAGCAGGATATACCGGAGCGGCGACCGGCGGCGGCGGAATTGGAATCGACGAGCCAACGGCGTAAGCGGTAGGATATTGAGAGACGGCGGACGGTTGCTGAAGGTGAAAGGGCATGGGAAAGTAGGAGGAGCCATTGGCGTAGGTGTACTGGGAAGACGATGCAGCGGCGGCGGAGGAGAAGGAGAGAGCGGCCGACGAAGACTGGCTCGCCATTGAAGCGAGGATTGGAAATCTAGGGTTTCGCAGTCACAGAGAGGTTGTGGAATTTGGAGAGAAACGAAATTGTTGGCGACAGCTTTGAAATTTGATGCCTTCGGAGAATGATTCTGGACTTTGATTCCGAGTAAGGCGGTGGGGAGATTTGGGGCTTGTGTTTTTTTGAGTGAAAAACTAAAAAAAAAAAATACAATTTGAATTATAATTTTATTTAAGTTCATGTTCTTTTAAGTTTAAATTCGAGTTTAAACTCAAATTTAAACTCGAGTTTAGGATTAAAACTCAAGTTCAAGGTTCTCCTTCAACTCGAGTTTAGAAACTCAAACTTAAATTAATGAACAGTATTTTTTCTATTCTTAAAAATGCTATAACTTTTTTGTTTTAATTCTGATTGAGATGATTTTTTTTTTCTATGCGTTGACAACAAAAAGACGAATAAAACCCGACCCATATACCCTATTAAAAATTTTCATCAGCATTGAGTTTTTATTAAAATACTATCTAAATATAAATTCAAATTTTGACTCATTCAAACACACAAACTCAAAAAATTCTTATCTCAAACCATAACTCAAATGTACATAAACAAACACAAACTCAAGTTACAAGTTTAACTCGAGTTATAATTCAAATTCAACTCAAAAACAAACACAAACTCAAGTTACAAGTTTAACTCGAGTTTAACTTGAGTCTTCTGTGTTCTTCAACCGGGTTTTCATTTTTTTACCAAAACTTTTCATTATGTCCCCAAAACTTTTTTTTTTTTGAGTGATGCATCAACTTAAATTTTAATTTTTATGAATTAATTAATGAGATATATGAATTATCATTTTTTATTAATTAATGTGATAATATTTTAAACACTTACTAAAAAAATGATAACTCGTGTACTACATTAATTCATACATAATAATTTAAATTTAAATTGATATATCTAACATTATTCAACTTTTTTTAAGTGACAACTTGATCCTCACTTTTTTACAGTATTGACAAAAAGACCTCTAAATTCTTAAGCCTCTGTTTATTTTGCTTGTTGAAGTTAAGAATTTAAGTTAAAAAGTGAATTTATATGAGACAAAAAGTTACAGCTGAAAAAATTTAATTTTAATTATTGTGAGAAAATATTATAGTAAAAACTTGAGTTATGATTCAAATTAGTAAAATGTCCGAATCACATTAACTTTTTATTTATGAGGAACAAATAAAAAAATTCAATACGTATTCTTATATTACATTACTTCTTATAACAATAAAGGCTTTTAATTTAGTTAAGCGGTTAAAAAGCTCTTCTAAAATTAAGAAACTCTATTATTCTTCTACTTAAAAATAATAACACTCTATCTATCAACCTTCAGAGTTCAGAACGTAGCATTTATATTCCCCAAAGAATAATACCTTAATATTAATGCTTCATCTGTTAAAATTTTGTACGGATATAAAATCTAAATAGGTTTTTGGTACTTAATTTGAGGTTATTTAATTTATTCACTCTTATTTAAAATCTATTTTTTATTTGAATTCAAGAACCATTAACCTTCCCTTAAAAAAAATTTAAATTTTTTTAAAAAAAAACCCCCACAGTACATGTTTAGTTCTTCATTGGGCGCGAGCTTTACATTATGAGTAGCAATTCGTATTAGGGAATCATATTCGTGTCAACTTGTTTATTAATTGTGTTATAAAATATCAATTAAAACACGACATATTTATTAAATGCGTCAAAAAGGTCAATTCAAATACGACACATTTATTAATTGTGTTAATCGTGTCAACCTGTATAATCTATTTAAATTAATATATTGAATAAATAACTAAAAAATAATGACTTATTTAACACGGTAATGACAGGTTTAACATGTTTATCGGTCAATTTATCTTTTTCTTTAATAAAAATAAATAAATTTTACCTACAAATATTAAAATTCACATTATTTGTATTTAATATGTCATATAAACTTTCATGTTATATCACATATCATTAGATTGTAAATACACTTATAGTTAATCGTGTCAATTCATGTCATTTCATTTTAAGAAGTCAACCCTAACTCAACTTATTTATTAATCGTGTCAATTCAATTATAACAAACTCATTTATAATAAACTAAAACTCACTAACTTTATACGGATTTCAAATCGTGTCATTATATCACTATTCAGATCGCTAGCCCTACTTTACATTGTAAACGTTAGAGCTAAGGTATTGCGATGGTCGTAATTGAAGGAAAAATTTTGGCCTCGTTCAGTTCGCGGATTTGAATTTTCAATTTAAGTTTAGATTTGACTTTATGTAAGAGCTTTTAACTATAGTAAAAAAAATAATATAATTTTTTATAAAAATTTTAATTATAACAAAATTAGAATTAAAAACTTAAATCAATAAAATAAACGAGGTCTTTATCGACACAACATTAGTAAAGGAAAATGGGTTTTTGGGCAGGTGTAGCGAATTGCGTTACACGTATGTTAAGGAAAATGATTCAGTGTTCTTGGGTTCACTAAACTTGTCATGCGTCCGTCTATGATTAGAAGGCATCTTCAGTGTGTCCACGTGGCAGCGTGTGACTGAAAGTTCAATTAAGTGGACACGTTTGAACTCTCCATTGATTGCAGAAACGAGCTCAGCACGCCGTAGTGAATTTCACACAAACAAAGAAGTGGCCGACAGCTGTACACGTGGCGGTGCTCATTCGCTGGTTGAAGTGGCGGGGCCCGCTGATGCGACATACCTGGAGCGTTAGATCTCCACGAGCCCTTGTTGGGAGTGACTTCACGCGCTAATCTCAACCGTTGAGTTACGGTCGAGATTCGTTCCAGATAATTACTAATTTTTATTATCTATTTATTTATTTGTTTGTTGTTCGATTTTATCCATTTTAACATTATTTTGCATTAAATTTTTCACGCTACTCATACAAAAATACTATAAATAATTTAAATAAAAAATTAAATTAAATAAAAATACACTAAAATAAAATAAAAAACACACTAAATTAAATAAAAATAAGTAAATAAAAATAAAATATAACTAATTTAAAACACAACAAAATATGTTTTTTACTTTACATCTTTTTCTTTTTTTATTTATTTATTTTATGTCCTTTTTTCTTTTTTTTTCCTTAAATAATTTATATAACCGTTATTTCACGCATACGTCTTTCCATTTGAGGGCCGTAATAATTTTTAAATTTTTATATTATTAATTATTCTATTTGTTGTTTAGTTTTAATTAATTTTTTATATGATTTTGTCCGTTTTAACACCGTCTTATACTAAATTTTCAGTTCCATTTAGATAAAAATGCTATAAATAATTTGAATAAAAAATAAAATTGAGCAAAAATACATTAAAATATAATAAAATCATGCCCAATTAATTAAAAAACAAGTTAAAAATATAATTAATTTAAAACACAACAAAATAAATTAAAATCTTTTATTCCTATTTTTCACTTCAGATAGTTTCCCCTTTTTGTCTGCATTTATTTTCTGTCTTTTTTTCTTTTTTTTTAATAACTGTTATTTTAAATAAATTGCCGCGCTAAAGACTAGTAATTAATCTAAAAGTAAAAGTAAGACCCATCCCAACGTAAAACGTTTTGAACGATTCTGATTTTGATTCCGAGAAACAACCATAAATAAATAAAACGATATTGAGAGCGGAAAAAAAAAAGTAAAACGAAACAACAACAAAAAAACAGAAAAAGAAACGATAATAACATGTGAAAACGACAACTTTAAAGGAAAACAACGGAGAAATAAATAAACAAAGAGAAACAGAAAACAAACAATAACAAGAAACGACAATATGTTTTAACTGTAGAGATGTCGTTTACGGATGAAAACAACACATTCCCTAATTAAATTCTTTGTCGTTTTCGTGGACGTGCTGGTGCATTGTTTTCACAACTCCCTATACCTCCATTTGTATGACGTTGTCTTTTTTTCTCTACCCAAATATACATGTTTTGACCAATAAACCATCACTTGTGACTTTTTTTAGGTGATGTTGAACTATACATATAACTTATATTTTATTGTCATACCCCTTGTCACTTTTTTTATTCGGGCGGATTTGGCTTTATGGATTGTATGTCGATGACCGTCACAATTGATCCCTTTAGAGCCTAAAGTTCTCGTTAGTCACATTTTCAGTTGGTCATATCTTTCATTTATACTCTCATGATATTAGCTTAGTTTGGTATTACTTTTTCCTTCTAAAAGCAGCTTCTGCTTGTAGCATAAGTTGATTTTAGTATTTGGTAAATCTCCATAAAAATGTTTTTTGAAGAATTTTTCAAGAATCTGCAGCCAAAATCAGAAGCAACCTAAAGACAACTTTAGCTTTTAGATTGTGCTAGAATCAACATAGTATAATTAATAAAACTTTCATAATACCCATAATACTCCTAATAAAATTTAAAATTTACAATATTCTCTATCTAAAATTCAAACTCGTAATATAATATGATATAATATAATATAATATAATTATAATATTATAATAAATAATATCATAATTATATTAATAGTTCTA